TAGTAGGATTTACAGCCTCAGCTTACTTTCACGGGAGCACTCCTTTCGGTGCTTGATCACACTGTATATCAAAATATGTAGTAGTAGTAGTAGTAGTAGTATACCGTGTAGTAGTCATATATGCCTAGCTAGCTAGTTTATCACTATAAGTAGAACATGTGATGGCAACAGTGACCCATCATATCTCATCATTATAGTAGCCATTGATATATCAGAACATTCGTTAAAGAGCACATTTTCCCCAGGTGCTCTTGTGGACATTGTGCGTTGATGGCAACAATGAAAGAGAACGTTTGCTGCCGTCAATCGTCCAACTTTCGGAAAAAGATTGAAACTATGGGCCATAAATGCATCACTGAGCACCCAGGTTTCCAATCAAACTGTCTGGATATATATGTTTTGGAAGCAACATATTATGAGTTTCGCGCCTACTATCCTCACCGTGCAGTCGGATTCAACCGTGTCACTTTGATTTCCATTATCTGGAACATTATTTGAGACAATATGCCTCAAATGTCGAAAATATCTCTGTGGCCTAGTTCCATAAAACTTACCAACATTCATAACTGCAGGTAAACAAAAAAAATCCGAAGAAAACAGCAAATAAACCAGGGAAATTTCGCGAAAACTGTTGAGAGAACAAAGCTGCAGGATATGACGTCAAAACTGCACTGAATTGAGCGTTTTATTCAAGAGAAAATACCGGAAGTAAAAACCGCGGGATATCCCGCGGTTGGCAGTCAAAGGGTTAAGGTAGTCCCATCTCCTCTTCCAAATGTTGGTGGTTTCTTCTCCCGTACCTGCTGAGTGTGAGGCCGTATGCTCGGTCTGCCTGTGCTTCCGGTCTCGAGTGGGTGGGCTACCCTCCGGCTCGAGGTTCTACTCTCCACTGACGCTGGGGAGTCGAATCGGCGTGACGCCCTCCTGCTCGACGTTTTTGTTTCTCCTGTTCCTTCGCGCTCCTCCATTCCTCTGTGGTAGAAGCCAGATTTTGGCTCCGTCCATGTCGTATTCGCTCTACTCCGGGTATGTTGCCTCCCGCTCTCCTCGGGTGGTGTGCGGAGCGTCTGGTATGGGGTGGAGGCCGCCGTAGCCATTCTCGACCATTCCTTAGCGTCTGAATCCTCCGAACTCGAACTCGCCTCCAAAACACTCTGCCTCTTCTTAATCATTCGCTTCCCGGTGGCCTGTCTCTCCGTGTGTCCGCTGTGGGCTTCATCGATCACCTGGGCTTCTTCTCCAATGTGTACGGTCCTCTGGATCTCATCCTCCTCTTCCTGCTCCGAGGACCATTCTTCTCTCTGTGGTCGGGGCAGTTGCCATGCCCTCCTCTCCTCGAGGTGGGTTCGCGGTGTGGTGGGCATATGGCGAGGCTCAAGGTCGTGAGCCTGCATGGGGGTATCGCCCGAGGCATGCCGATGCTCAAGAATCGGTCTGCTCGGTATCCTCCTAAGTATAGGGGATCTGCTCTTGGCCTCGCGGCCTAGCTCTAACCCTGCCCGAGTAGTCTCGGGGACACTCGTAGGCCCACAGCATACATGACCTTGGGACGGGGTAAAAAAATCGCGTAGTCTATTCCTTAAGCTATCCATCTTACGTTACTAGTTTATTGCCTCTACGTCTCGTTCTCCTGCCACAGCCGCAATTTCAACACAGAAAAGCAAAGAATCCCGGACGAGCCCCCAATAATTTTGTAGTGGCCCTAGGGGTAGCCACTCCGCGAATTATGTGCGTGTGAATGCACTATTGTTTTTGCGGGATCATTTCTTGCTCCCGGTGGCAAAGCGGGACTGTGTTGCGTGGCAGCAGGAGACAAAGAAAATCTACAGCTCCAGCACAGATGAAAGCCAGAATCTTGAAGCATGTCAAGAAAACTGCGAAGAAGATTACTCTTGTTGCGGGCCACTGATCAACCTCACATGCAGGTTTGTACAGAATTCCAGTATTGCACAAAATTGAAATTGTTTTACGATTATATTACTATCGCAGGCTAGCTTCCTTTAAATTATATTATTTCATAGTATTTTATTCAGTACAGATCAAAACAAAACATAGAACTTACCCACATACATCTTTTCCAGTCTTTCAAGAAAAGACGATGCTCGGGATGGGCAGCAACAATCTACCTGGCAATTGCTGCAGCAGCTGCATAATGCACACTGACACATTTGCAAGCAGTTCTGTTCACAGTTTGACTTTAGCTTTAATGTATTTATACATATTACGTGAGAAATGACCCGCTAAAATTACTTCGCATTTCTTACTAAGTTTTGCTATACAAAATTGAAACGCAATCATCTCATATAGCAGTTCATCTAAGGACAACTGTAATGAACGTTAAGGAATCATATGGGAAACTTACTCATGAATTCTTCTATTGCCATGTCCGCATCTGTGACAACTTCTTTCACCTTCAAACCTTTGGCTATGACTTCCCCAGGTCGTCGTTAAATCCCTTAAACCCTTCTCCATATTCGTAGACTTTCTGTCTGTCACTTGTTTGTGTAGTGTTTTAATAGTTAGTATTTTTTAGACTCACTCTCCATGATAGTGTAGCTGCAGTACTGGGCAGAATACCCTGGAGAGTCCATTCGTCCATAGCCTGCATATATACGTTTTGTTACTTATTATTAATAAGCTAAACTCAGCGTATGACGTCATTCCCCTTGAAATCTCCACAACTCTTCACTCCCCAATGAAATCTCTACAACTCCTCCCAACTTCTCTTAGTATCCGCCCTCGGATACGATTTACCTTCCCGCCATATCATATGTCATCTTCTATGATCTTCATCTCATTTCTTCATTGTTTACCAGTTAAAGCTAGGGTTTGGTAAGTGGACGCACGTAGACACTGTACATAGAAATGTTTTTTTAGCACGTGAAAGTTTTAATAATCATCTAATATCATCGTTATCACCCGTACAATTGTCTTTCACAATATTCCTGAAACTACATACTCTATTTTAACAATTTAATATCCAAAAATATGTATATACAAAAAAATATATATTGTCTTGATTATACACAGTTGACTTGACCCTGACTACTATATAGATACTGGATATCGGTATATGTACTATATATATATATGGGACTCTCCCTCGCTATATATCTATGCCCATAGGCCTATCTTTTCTTTTATCCTCCCGGCTAGCTATTCCAATTCCCATCCGCATCTTCGCGCAACTGCTTTATCTTTTCCCCTTCCTCTAGCTCCTCCACCCTCCGGCTTAATCGTGCTATTTCCTCATTTGCTTCCTCCAAGGTTTGGCTTAACTGTTTTATCATCTTCCTCTCTCCTTCAGCCTCTCCCTCTCTCGCTCTCCCCCTCTCGCATCGTTCCTCCTGGTCCAGCTGCCGCTGGTAGCTTTCCTCCTCAATCGCTCGCATATTTGCCTTTAGCTTCCCCCTTCTCTCTGCTAGCCATTGGTCGCTCCTTGTCCGCCTTTCTTGCAGCGGCTCGTGTCCTTGCTGCCGTGGGGTCTGTTGTATGGGTGTTACAACACCCAGCAGGCACCCCGGGCTGACTATTGGGTGCCCCTCCCAGGCATATGGGAGGCTCAGCACCTCCACATCCTCCGGATGTTTTTCAATGTGGCTGCGCCAAGGCGACCAGTGTGCCCTGGCCTGCCGGCGTTGTTGCTCCTGCGCCCGCTTCCTCTCCCGGTCGCGGTTAGTCCCTGGGCATCGTGGTATGTCGTCCACCTGGGAGGAGTGGATCTCGCCATGCCTCTCTTGTTGATGCCGGCGCATCCGACGGGGATCGTCGGTTTGGTACCGGCATTGGGGGCACTGGGGTGTGGGGTGGCGTGCTCGTGACGACCGGCCCGGCCTTGGTGTGGCTCTGCCTTTGTCGTCAGAGATCATTTTCCGGGGATCTACCTGGATCTCCAGTATGTCCATCTGAAAAGAGAAACGTTCTTACCTGTGTTTTGTTTGGACCATACTTTCCTTATTGGTGCAGATGGACCTGTGCCTGGTGCAGACCATACCGGGGAAGGAGCCGATTTAGGTCCCTTACAGTTCCTCGTCCGATGACGTCTCTCCCGGACTAGAGCTCAGCATGAGGTCCTGGTCTAATGCCGCTCCTGAGGTTCGGCTCCCGGTGGCGCGATATTGCCTTTTGAGCTGCCGGACTATCTCGCCGGCTGTGACTGTTCGAATGGCACACCACCTTTCCTTGTCCTTCCTCAGCTCCTCCACCTCTTTCTGCAATGCGGCTTTCTCTTTTTCCAACTCCCCTTCCTCCCGCCTGACTTTCTCCCACTTTGTCCTCTGCTCCTCCTGCTCCCTCTTCTCGATCGTGAGCAATTCCGCGAGGTGTCGCTCCTCTTCCTCAACCCCGAGCATTAGCTTCCTCCATTCCCGGCGCATTTCTGCGAGGCGCTGAGTGTTCCTGACGACGCGGGCGGCGGTACTGGCCTTCGGTGCGACGGGTATGGGGTTCCGGGCGACGTCGGCGGTGGTGCTGGGTTGTGGGGCGGCGGGAACGGGGATCCGGGCGATGTCGGCGGCAGTGCTGGGTGGTGGGGTGGCCAGCAGAGTGCTCACTATGGCGCCCACTTCCCAGGCGAAAGGCCGGACTGGCATGGTGAGTACATCTTCCAGTTCGGGGTGCGCCTCTGTCCAAAAAGAAAGTCCAACTCTTTCGAGCTTCCTCATACCGTTGGCGCTGGGCTATCCGCTTGGCCTCCTAGCATTCTCTCTTTCTCTTCTCCTCTTCCTCCCTCTCAAATCGCGTTCTCCTCTCGAGTCTGATCCTCTCGTTCCTTTCCCTTCGGTCCCTCTCCTCTTCCTCCCTGCTTCTCCCCGATTGCCTCCTTCCCTGGCTCCCGACTGCCACTGATGGATGGTACTGGTCCCTCACTTGGCGGGGCAGTCCGAAGGTTGCTTGGCTCCTTCGGTTGGCCACGGGGACTCCTGAATGGGGTTTCCCTTCGTGGTGTGGGTCTGGAGTTGTACCATGGTCGTCCAACTCCGTTGTACGGCCAGTTCCTCCGCCCTGGCTGTACCCGGCCTCTGGATGTATCGGGCTTTCGCCCGCTTGTGAGACGGGGTCGTTGCGTTGGCAGGTTTCCCTGCAACGTGTCGTCTGACTTCGCATAGATTTCGAACTGTGGTTCGTCCATCCTGAAATGTTTTCCAAAATTGAGTTAGTGCTGCCCCCCTCGGATAGTGGTATGTCCTCCCCCCTTACAGGTCCATGCGCAGAGGAGGTTTCCTAGTGCGCTCTCTTCTCACCGTGGGCACCTCATTTGGCGGCAGCCCCGGGTACTCCTGATTTCGTCCCTCACCCCTTTCGGTGGGTGGGCGCTCAGCCCAGTGATCCTCGGGGGTATCACTAGCAGAGGGGTTCCCCTATCCTCTGGCCATGGCAGGTCAAATGGTTCAGGGATGTTCTCTTCTTCTCCTTGTACTCCCTCAGTGTTGATGTCCTGCTCCGTTCCTTGAGTCTCTTCCCTCTAGGGCGTTAATGGCGGTTCCTTCGTTCTTCGT